GCATTGCCACAGATCCTGCTAAGGTTGCAGCCATTGTTACATGGCCAACCCCCTCTAATGTGAGTGAACTTTGCAGTTTTCTGGGTTTGGCTGGTTTTTACAGGAAGTTCATCCGACACTTTGCTGTCATTGCCAAGCCATTGACTAACTTGCTGAAAAAGGGCACCTATTTTGTTTGGACATCTGATCATCAGCTAGCTTTTGATACCTTGAAGCAAGCCATGAGCTCGGCCCCAGTCCTGGCTATTCCAGACTTTACTAAACCATTTGCGATTAAAACGGATGCATCTAACAATGGTGTCGGTGCTGTTCTTTTGCAGCAGGGACATCCCTTGGCATTCATCAGTAAACCGTTGGGTCCACGTACTCAAGGTCTGTCCACATATGAGAAGGAGTACATGGCCATCTTATTGGCAGTAGAGCAATGGAGATCCTATTTACAGCTTGCTGAGTTCCTCATTTTTACGGATCAGAAAAGCTTACATCTCAATGAACAGCGCTTGAATACAGTTTGGCAGCAGAAAGTTTTTACCAAGCTTCTTAGGTTACAATATCGCATTATCTACAAGAAAGGGGCTGACAATCGTGTAACTGATGCTTTATCTCGCCGACCACATGCTCCCGAGTCTTGTTTTGCCGTTTCTTCTGCCATTCCACAGTGGTGTGCTGAAATTGTGGCCGGCTACTCTTCTAATCCTCAAGCACAGCTTTATATAGCACAACTGGCTGTGGACCCTTCTGCAGTTCCAAATTTCACCCTTCAGAATGGGCTTCTCCATTACAAAGACCGCATCTGGCTTGGTAACAACAAGAAACTGCAAGCTCAAGTGATACAGGCTCTGCATACATCAGCAGTTGGTGGCCATTCAGGTGTTCCGGTTACCTATCGTCGTGTTCGTCAATTGTTTGCCTGGACTGGACTGGACTGAAATCTGATGTGCATGACTTCGTCACCACTTGTCCTACTTGCCAGCAGTCAAAACCTGATCGGTCTCGCTATCCAGGCCTGTTGCAACCACTTCCTGTACCATCCTCTGCATGGCAGTCTATATCCATGGACTTTGTTGAAGACCTTCCGTAGTCTCATGGGTACAATTGTATCTTGGTCGTAGTGGATCGCTTCTCCAAATTCAGTCATTTTCTTGCCCTCAAGCATCCATTCACAGCACTGGGCGTGGCCAAGCTCTTTATGCAGCAAGTCTACCTCCTTCACGGTTTACCATCTTCCATCATTTCCGACCATGACAAAATATTTCTAAGTACTCTATGGCAAGAATTGTTCAAGCTCGCGGATGTCCAGCTGAAGATGAGCTCCGCATACCATCCGCAAACGGATGGCCAAATAGAGCGCGTGAATCAATGTATGGAAACTTTTCTTCGCTGTTTTGTTCATGCTACTCCAGTCAAATGGTTTGAGTGGCTTCATCTTGCTGAGTTTTGGTATAACTCTAGTTGGCACTCGGCACTGGATCATTCACCATTTGAAGTCCTCTATGGCTATTCTCCTCAATATTTTGGCATTGATGCTATTGATGCATGCCATCTGTTGAGCTCACTGACTGGCTGCAAGACAAACTGGTCATGCAAAACTTGATCAAGCAACATTTGTTACGTGCTCAGCGTCGTATGAAAGACCAAGCTGACAAAAAGAGATCGGAAAGAACTTTTCAGAATGGTGATTGGGTCTATCTCAAGTTGCAACCGTATGTCCAGTCTTCTGTGGCCCCTCGTGCACATCAAAAGCTGTCGTTCAAGTTCTTTGGTCCTTTCCAGATTGCGGCTCGAGTTGGTTCAGTAGCATACCGGCTCCTTCTTCCACCAACTTCACAGATCCATCCAGTTTTCCATGTATCACAATTGAAGCAAACATTACCAGTTAAGCATCAAGTGGCTGAACTTCCATCCTCGCTGACTGGATTCCAGGTTCCTGAACAAGTCCTACAACGCCGTGTTTCTTCCAGCGATTCCTCGGCTGTGGTTCTGCAGGGCCTCATCAAATGGTCTGGCCTTCATCCATAATTAGCTACATGGGAAGATCTCGAGCCTCTCAAGCAACGGTTCCCCAACGCTCCTGCTTGGGGTCAAGCAGGTCCAAAAGGGAGAGGGAGTGTCAGGGCAGCTCCTACTGTACTGGCAGTGCCTGAAGATGGCCCATCAGCGGTGCATCATTCGGCAACAGCACAGAGGAAGAGTGAGCGTGTTAAGCTTCCAAGTACTCATACTACTGGGCCTCAATGGGCTTGATTCCTAGGTCTAGAAGCAGCTGTGCTGCTGGAACAGCCCACCGGTGAACCGGATGTATATATGGGAACCATACGCTCTCATAACGGGACAACATGTATAAACCGAAACAGACCAATCTATAATCATTCGTCTGAACTCAATCCCGTGCTCTGCTTCTTCTTCCTAAGTCTGTCCTCCTTTTCCCCTTCCCCTGCTCAGTTATCCTAACAATTTTGTTGTCACATTTCAAGTGCAATTATAATTGCCAACCTAATAGCATCAAGCAATCGCATACTTGGGATAGATACTGGTCATCTCATATCTGCTCAGGCGCTTCGGTTGGTTGTGACATAACTGTACTATTTTCAGCCAGTCTTTGTTTTTTGCAGGGATGGTGGACACGGAAATTGAATATGCTTGCCCACATTTGAATAGCTCCTCTTTAGAGAAGTATATATAATTGCAGTTGTGAAAAGGAAAGAAATACTGAAGCGAAACTCCTCCTGCTGGGACCTGCTGTAGCATTTATATATACACATAGACCACCATCTCGCTATATATATAGCAATCTCAAGACACAAAAGCATGCATGCAACCTCACCACGAGCTGCACCACCATATAGTCTACTTATATATGTTGCTTGACTGACATGGAAAATGTTGGTCACGGATGATAGGCGTGGGAGGCATCGAGGAAATTTGTAAAGCAGTGTAGAACTCTAAAACTAGCACAATGTCCTGGAATTGCAGTGCTTCAAAATCTTAATGTTGTTCTAAACTCGCAATATTGGTGTATCTAGCTAGCTACTAGAAATTTTAAGAACATTTGAGAGTAGTAAGTGTTGAATACTGTACATGAACATGTTTCTGAATGCATGAAACGGCTTAACTGACATGTAATTATGTACGCACTTGTGTACATTATTTCGAAAACAAGCTTGATCGAATAAAAGGAAACTTCGAAAATTGCTCAAGGGACGATCGACATCAAAAGGTAGTTGGTCCCCTGTTCTTGCCTCAGAACCCACTTTTATGAGAAAAAGGATCCGATGAATTGAAAGCATGCATGGTGTTAATTGAATTATATATATATATATAAATGTAGCTAGTACTTACTTTGTGTGCGATTACATCCAGTGGCGTTTTGCAATGTTTCATGTGGTGTTCCTCAATGAAACTTTTCCAAACACTGCGCCCAATAAAATAAAAAAATTAATTTAGCCTTTAATAATTGTTGCAGTTAAGAGATCGGGGTATATATATTGCTAGAGAGACCAAATTACATGTTCAACCGACTATTGGCCATATCGATGACCATCAATATCCAGTGATATATATATATATATATATATATATATATATATATATATATATATATATATATATATGGGAGATAGCTTAGCTAGTAAGCAAATAATTGAATAAATATACATATGATCGATTTTAATTATTTAACACTCACTTGAAGTTATAGGGAAAGAGTATGTCCTTGTTTTGTTGGTTCACTAAGAACCTCATGAGATTTTTCTCGAGTTCAACTTTCCATTCAGCCGGGGGATTAGGGTGTTTGAATAAGACATTTGGATCAACGAAACCAACATCATTATCCTTTCTCTTTCTGAGTTCTGTCATCTCATATCTGCATATATAAAATATAGTGTGAGGATATATAATTTATATATATACATGTAGCTTTATATATATACACTTTAATAGTAGAAAATATCACACTTACAGACAATAGCAGCTAATGAGACTTTTGTCGAGAGAGTCCAAGTGGCATAGTTGGTGTAATTCTAAGAACTTATATATAACAAATTTATTGTCAATTGATATATATAACAAATTTATATATATAACAATATAAATTTAAAACTCTCTAATATGTATAACAAATATATATATATAACAATACAAATTTATAACTCTCTAATATGTATGTATAACAAATTTATATATATAACAATATAAATTTATAACTCTAATATATATGTATAACAAATTTAGCTATATAACAATATAAATTTATAACTCCCTAATATAGATGTATAACAAATTTATATATATAAAAATACAAATTTATAACTCTCTAATATATATATATATATATATAACAAATTTATATATATAAAAATACAAATTTATAACTCTCTAATATATATATATATATATATATATATATACAAATTTATATATATAACAATACAAATTTAAAACTCTCTAATAGCATGCATGCCATACTACTTTTCTTCTACAATATCCATTTGTTGTCACATTTTAAGTGACATTATAATTGCCGAGCTAATAACATCAAGCAATTCTCATACTTGTGATAGATACTGGTCATCTCGTATTTGCCCGGCTTCGTTCAGTTGTGAAATAACCGTACCATTTGCAGCCAGTGTTTGTCTTTTATTATGGTCATGGCGGACACGAATAGAATATGCTTGCCCACACTGGAATAGTTGGAGGAGATCTCATAACTGACTGGTAATTATGTACGCACTTGTGTACATTATTTCGAAAACAAGCTTGATCGAATAAAAAGAAACTTCGAAAATTGCTCAAGGGACGATCGACATATATCAAAAGGTAGCACGATTCATATTTACCTCAAAACCAAGGTGTCCACTTTAATTAATTAATTTATTGCGCGCGGCTAGTATACTAAACGCGGCGCTGCTACTAATCTCGGTACATATATATAAACTTGAAATTTCTGTGAGAAATCATACATACATATCACTGTTCAGTAGTAGTAGTAAAAATAACAAAACCTAAGCGAACATGGCTGCAGAAACATAAGCCACCACGAGTGGCAGGACGACGTTGATGACGCGTCCAAGCCCTGCCGCCGCCGGCGCTGCCCCCCAGTAGAGTGGACCATTGTACCCGTAGGTTCCGGGTCCAAAGCCACCTGGCCCGCCGAACCAGCCGTTTCCTCCGCCGCCGCAGCACTCGTCGCCGGGTCCGCCGAACCCAAGGCCCCCGTTGCTGCCGAATCCGAGGCTGGCCCCGCTGGGCAGCTCGTCAGGCGTGGGCACCGGCAGCGCTCCGGCCACCTGTGCAGCGGGCAGGTACGGCTCGCCTCCGCCATGAGGTGCCGGCAGGTCCGGCTCGACGCCGCCGTGCGGCGTCGGCAGCGGGAACTTCTCCGGAGCCGTGCCAGCGGTGGCGGTTGTTGCGGGTTCAGACGCCGCTGCTGGTGTCCCCGGTGGGACCGCGACCGCCGCTGGAGCGGATGACGACGATGACGCTGCCGGCAGCGTGCCTGTGGTCGTCGGGCCTGCAGGCATCACATTTTACACAGATTAGTCGCCGTCGATTCCGTCGAAGTTGCATGGATGGTAACACCGGCCGATCATTGGTGAAGCAGTGGTGAAGGCGAGTTGCAGAACTGCAGAAGCAGTCGAGTCAGCTGACGGTACTTGCCTGCGGCAGCTATGCTCGGCTGCGCCGCCGCCGCCGCCGCCGCCGACGACGACGACGCGGGATGCACGGTGTTCTCAGCCATGGCCGCCGGCAGAAGCAGGCAGGACGACGTCCACAACGCCATGGCGAGGAGGAGGAGGCTCGAGGAGCGGGCGAGCATGGCAGCCATTGTTAAGGTGGAAGCTAGGACGTCCAGAAGCTTGACTGACGAAGAAGTAGATTGACGACATTTTTGTACGTGATGGTTTATATGGTCGGAAAAAGAAACAATTCTGGCCGGGTAGACGAGAAAGCAAGGATAGACTGCGAGCATTACGTACGTACGTACCTTAGTAGCAGTAGCAGGGTGGGTAGGCAGCTGCATCTAATTCCTTGCTTTGATCAGCGAGTGAAATCGGCAAGTCCACTGGTTGGTGGGCCAACGACCAACCACTGGCTCCTTTTTGTCCAGATGTTGATGTTGGTACTGCTGGGCCTCCATGGCTAATAGTGGGCTTGGGCGGCCTAAAAACTATTGATGGGCTAGCTTGCTGAATTATTGATGGGCTAGCTGCGGCGCATCAGTTTCGTTATGGGCCACACCAAGCTGTGCTGAGGGAAGAAAGCAAACTTGCATGTCGCAGCATGACCTAACGCAAAGACTAAATATGAACCAAAGCTGGATCGCTGGACATTAGAGAAGGACGATACCATTTGGACAAAAAAACAATTTTGTTTCACAAGTGCAATGCGGCTTCCAAGTGCAGAGTTTAATGCTATACCTAAAAGTGAGAAGATACATCATATACGATATACCATGGCTCTCTATATAATGTGACCCAGCGCTCATTTAGATCAAACATTGGCCACGGCTGCCTTGAAGAGGGCAAGAGGCATAGGATTTTGGTAGTTCTAAGTCAAATTAGGATGGTGATTGACAAAAAGTATAACTGATTAATTTGGTCATTTGTAGGTAGCAGATCCGCCTAGGAGGTATCAGGCATCACCAAATATGAAGCTGCTGTAAAGTTTGTGCACCTGCTTGTGGAGGTCACGTGAGTTTATTGAAAGAGTACTCAAGAATAGCCCTTGGCGTGGCAATATAAGCAGAGACGCAATCCGAGATTGATTGTTACAATTACCCCAAAATACAATATGCTAATGCGTACAAAGAATGTTTAGATGATTGATTACATGATGGTGTTTGCATTGTCCAGTGATTTACATAAGTGAGGAACATTCCAAACACTCCCCCTCAATCACAAGGTGCTCATGTTGAGAATGTGTTTGAACTGTTCGAGTAGCATCACTGCCCCAGATCTTGACATCACTGTCGGTTCAAAAACATCCTTCACTGTCGGATTTTGAACCGACAGTGGCATACCGATAATGATGGGGGTTGACATCACTGCCAGTTCTTAGAAACCGACACTGATGTGAAATCGGTAGTGATGTGGAAAGCCAAAAAATGCACTGAAAAAATAGAAAAAAAAACAATTTTAATACCAGGAGAGGTCCCACCGGGCAGCTACGCGGTCGTGCGTCACAAGTCACGCGATTTTTCGTGCGGAAAACGTGCGCTTCGCAGCCACTAGCGCTCGAACCCCTGACCTGCTGTTTCGCGGCTTCGGCCCACTGCACCTGTATGCTGTTTGTGTCTAAATAAGATTTTCGTCCTAGCCATTTTATGTTCATCTGATTTTAAAATAAATATTTGAGACTCTAAACGAATTCAAATGAAAAAGTTGTCAACTACAAAGTTTTATAACTTTTCGAGATCTACAACTTTTATTTTGATAGTTTATTCATCCGAGGTCGTTTACAATATTTGAATTTTAAATTTAAGAAATTCAAACATGACAAGATGAATTCAAATGAAAAAGTTGTCAACTACAAAGTTTTATAACTTTTCGAGATCTACGACTTTTGTTTTTACTGTTTGTCCATCCAAGGTCGTTTAGAAAATTCAAATTTCAAATTTTTGGACAGAATGATTTCAAATCAAAAAGTTGTCAACTATAATGTTTCATAACCTTTTGGGATCTACAACTTTCATTTTGGTAGTTTCTCCATCCGAGGTCATTTACAATTTTGAATTTCAAATTTTAGAAATTCAAACATAGTTTTTCTTGACAAGATGATTTCAAATCAAAAAGTTGTCAACTACAAAGTTTCATAACTGTCCAAGAGCTACAACTTCTATTTTGGTCATTTGATCATTTACTCATCCAACGTACTGGCAGTAACATTGTTCACAAATGTTACATATTCCTCTTATAGTAAGAGGGATATGTAACATTTGTGAACAATGTTAATACCACTGTATCGGATTAAGAAATGACCAAAACAAAAGTTATAGATCTTGATAAGTTCTACAACTTCTATGTTCATAACTTTTTTTTAGTTGAAATCATTTAGTGTTCCAAAATGACGTTTGAAGTTTCTATTTTGAAATTCAAAATTTAAATATATAAAACACAGTCACATGAAAAGATAGATAAAATAATTGCTATAACAAAACAATAAATTGATAGAGCTTGATTTTAGAAATTTTTAGGAAAAAAATCATCAAATTTGAAGTTAGTACGAGGGAGAAAGACTAGTTATAAGTTTTAGCTAGAGATTAAAAAGAGAAATCAGAGTTCTTCAATAATTTCAATCAGCATTTTGAAGCAGTAAATGATTTCAAAATGAAAAATTATCAACTATAAAGTTGCGTAACTTTTCGAGATCTACAACTTTTGTTTTGGGCGTTTCTCCATCTGAAGTCGTTTGAAAAATTTAAATTTTAAATTTTAGAAATCAAACGTAATTTTCGTTAGATAGATGATTTTAAATGAAAATATTTGGACATGCAAACAATCTCAAATTAAAAAAGTTTTAACTACATGTAGATCTCGTCGAGTACTACAACTTTGATATAAAGTTCGTCTTCATCAGACATCATATGAGAAACTTATGAAGTTTTCTTGCAGCATATTATTGTCGGTTCAAGTCACGGACCGACAGTGATAGTATCAGTGTCGGTTTTTGGCTAAAACCGGCAGTAATGACCCAATATCACTGCCGGTTCTTGGCTAAAACCGACAGTGATATGAACCGACAGTGAAGACCCGAATATCAGTGTCGGTTGGGCTATCAGTGTCCTATCACTGTCGGTTTTAGCCAAAAACCAACAATGATGGGCTATCACTTTTGATTTCTCAAAATCCAGCAGTGATGAGGCCGACAGTGATGTCCAATTCTGTAGTAGTGCATAATAGACAAGGGCTTTATTTGTAAACCCATCAGCAACTTGGTCATGTGTATATGAGTTTGATGTCCAAAGTTTGTTGGCTACTCTTTCACGAACAAAGTGATAGTGCACTTCAACTCGTCAACAATGAGACGAATGTGGTGACCTCATCCATCCATGATATCTCTCTCTTATTTGTCCTATGTGCACATATATAAGGGGCAGTTGTGCTTGTGCATGGATTCCTTTGTAGAAGTGAGTGTGCTTTCATATATGTAAACTTCTATATTTATACTGTGTTTCGTGTAACTATTGCCCATAGTTGTAGGTCCTCTTGGTCAGCTGGCCTCCTCAAAATAATTCCTACCTACTAACAAATTGCAATATGGCATCCATGAGAGCGACTTTAATTGGCGAAGGTACATGATATATAATGGCATTGTATATTTAAAATGAAGGAGACATAAGTCTACCTAGATCAAAGCTTGGCCATGGCATGGCTACCCTACAAATTGATGGGTTGTGATTGTGACACATTGGTGGGCTGGCTTGGAATTTCGTGATGAGGCACACCAAGCTATCTATGGGAGGTAGAAAATCTACAGGTTGCAAAATGGACCTTTTAATTTATATTTTTACTAGATATATGCCCGCGCATTGCAGCAGGGCCACAAAATGTTATCCATGCCTACAGTGATGGATACGATCATTTTTAGAAATAAATAAAAAATTAATAAATAATTTTGCATTAGAACCCTAAGCTATTTCCAAATCCACTCAGGCCTTCTCTTTTATTTCTCTTTAGTTATTTATCAACTGGAACTATATTATCTTTTTTCAATAGGTTACATGTAGCAGAGAATCTCTACAAATACATCAATAGAATTTAAGTAAAAAGGAAGAACACGATTCCTGAACCAATTGAACGGAATCCTAAACGAAAACTATTGATGTTGGGGGATTCTGTGGTGGTGGTCGCATTCGTTTTCTTGTTTCTGTAATTTCTAGCGATCGGCGGGGCCTGGGGCATTCTGTAATTTCTGTAATTTCTGTGGTGGTGGACGAGCCTAGACTGTCGTCGGCCTGAACTCGGCAGGGTCCCTGTGGATGTCGTACGCGTTCACGATCAGCAGCATGCCGCGGGGCATGTCGTAGCCGCCCCCCTTGCTCGGCAGTGTCCTCCCACACCGCGGGTCCTTGTGGATGGCGTATGCGTTCAGGATCAGCAGCGTGCCGCATGGGCACATCCCAGCTGCCGACCTTGCAGTCTACGGATCACTTGTGCAGTCTTGGGGCAGGAGCAGCGGGGCGACCAGGTACAAGCGCAGGATCTTGTTGATGACACCGCATGTTTTTCTGCTGTATTTTTTGTTTCGGTATTTCCTTGTATATATATATTGTACCTAGCTAGCCTAGCGGAGATCCAGTCAGATTGGCTACCCTAGCTTTGGTGGAGGTCGAGTCAGGTTGGCTACCCCGGGGACGTCGTTCACGACGGAGATGTACCACTCCAAGTCGGCCGTGGACATTGATGCGAAGCGGAGCATGGGCACGTGCGTCTAGAGGCCGGGCCTGGTGCGTACACAGAGGTATAATGGGAGACACAAAGGTATTACCTGTTGTATGTGATCTTGCTGCGCCCAACCTATTGGCAAAACTAAATTGCTCTGTCGCACCAAACCGAAAGACGATATGGAGGAGTCCACGTCATGTCTACCATGCTAGCGTGGCCGGATTGCTGCTGGAGGAATAACGTGGTCCACTCGTAAATTGGGGTCGCCAAAATTATTAGGTTTGAAAAAAAAATTGGCTAGATTATTTCTAGATATTAATTGGAAACATAAATGAAAATAATGTGTCCTCTCTTACCATGAATAAATGGCTTTGGCACATGAGAGTAGAATGCTGTGGTGTCAGCTTCGGTGGCAATCGACTACAACTTTGTGCATGATCAG